TGACTATGTGACTCTGCCAATGTATTCTCTCACAAACTGCCGGAATCTTATTAGGCAGTGCCTGAAGCGAAAGGCAGCAGATTGCCAGACCAGGGAGCAGATCGAGCTGCATCCTTGGTTTCGGCACTGCTGACCAGGGTCTCTGCAAAAAGTACCTCTGCCTCTAGAAAGGTTTGCTAATCTTTCATTGAAAAATAATAAGAAAACAAAACACACATGATGTAGCAGCTGCATTACATCAAGGTAGCTCATAACCCTTGCCGACCGTTCGTAAAGGAACCATTGTTGTTCTTTGCTTTAGAAACTTATCCTCTGAGGCAAGGTAGTGGAAGGCACTGAGAAATCGTGCACTGACGTGCTGAAGCTCCTTGATTGGTTTGACAGGCTGGATGACTACATTATGATTCTGGAAAGGCTAGATCCCTGCCAGGATCTCTTCCAGTTCTGCAGGTCAAAGGGAGGGTTCCTGTCAGAGGATCTGGCCAGACACGTGGTGGCGCTAGTGCTCCATAGACAGGCCGCCGCATTTCCGTCGTGGTCCATTTCCGTTTCTGTATTTGTGTTGCGGCTTTTGTGTTGTGTTGGCCTGTCTGAGCCACCGCACAGTTGGCTGGAGTGAGATTTTCAATTTGAGCCTAGTCTGCGCGTTTATAAGCATGTCACAGTTTTATTACCTTACTTTTTGTAATTATTATTATAAAAACACTTGCAGTTTCTCTGTCTCATTTGTCATCACCCATGTCTTCACCTCTAGAAGATAATATCAGCAGCGCATAACTTCCCAGCTAGCATAGGGTGACCAGATAATCCATGTCAGGGAGGGCACTTTGAGCTACTTTGGGTTTTACAAACTACTTTCAAACTGAAAGGCTCCTGTGTTTGGCTAAATAGTTCCGCTCTTCTGGAGCTGGATGAGTCTTTCAGTTAAGGAAACAAACCAGTTGTTTCCTTGACTGAAAGACTCATCCAGCTGTTTCACATTAACATTAGTGACACATGCATGATTATAGGAGACTGACCAATCAGCACACAGCAAGAACTCAGTGCTCAAGTGAAATCCAGGTCCTTGTAATTGAAATGGTAATTTACAATTCCTGTCCTAGCTCAGAGTGTCCTCCCTGACATGGATTATCTGATAACCCTAAGATAGCATCATGTTATTGTTTCAGTGTTGAATTATAGTTAAATGCGTTGAATTATGGTCAGTGTAAAATTATTAATGTTGAAACTGAATTGATTTTTGGTTAGATTTTCAATATTGAAAAATTGATGGTGACAAAACCTTGATTCAATGTTAATATAAGGTGAAAGATTGAAGATCAACGTTGTTTCAGCCTTTTTGTCTGATATGGAATCAATGTCATTTCAATATATGTGTGTTATCTGGGTTATGTATTCCTGTATTATTCTCACTGCATCTGCTGATGTTTTGTAACTAAGCAGGTAAAATGTTCTGGGTGAAGCAATTCCTGGCTTCTTCATTCCTTACACTCACACCTTCAAAATGAAAGTTCAGACCTTGTCCTCCAGCAGGGATGATGCTCTGTGAAACCATGACTGCAAAAAGGGCATTTTCAATTATTTATTGGCTTTCACTTATACACTTTAGAAATAAGTTACACTTACAAGGACATTTGAAATAAAATTAAGTTGTCTGTTGATGGCATCCACAGAAAAATTATACCGATCGTTTCATAAGGTACAAGAACTAATTTAAGGCTATGATTAAACAAAAAATGGGTACTTTACAACACGCCCCTTAGACCACTATACATTTTTAGGAGTTTAATCATTTATGCACTAAAGTGCATACGTTATATTTTGTTTCTACTCTATGTTTACAAAACCTAAAATTCTCTAATAACCATACGACAAAAGGTTAAAAAATAAACAGCAATCAAGAAAGTGTTAATTTCTAAACTTGTACATGACGCTAATAACAGTAAGTAAATATATTTTATTTTGGCTTTATATTTCAAATCATAACAAAATTATTTTATATAAAAAGGTGTGGAGTCCTTCCTTAAGTATGACAGATTACATATTTTGTTCTTATGCTAAAAGGAGTTATTTGCATTATTTTGCAAATAAATACACATTCTCTCATCTTAAACAATATCTCCATACAGTCGATTCTAATCTGTCCTGGTGTGAATGTGGGATCCATATTGCTAAAATAATTTGTAAACACAGACCTGTGACAAAAGAATGTTAATGGCAGACGTTTGCTTATGCTATATTACAGAATGAAACCTAATAGAAACCAGATTACTATGGCAGGTATATTACACAGAAAATCAAGTTATTTTTCCATTCTGTTGACCTTCAGGCTCAGTGATTACATCCATTTGATCCATTCAGTGTAACTCAGTAAAACAAAGAGATGATAACTTAATTTGGTTCATAACACTGTCAAAAAATAAAGAACACATAATTCTTGGAACATACATTAGGTACATATGCAACATATTTTTTAATAAAAAAATCAGGTCATGTTCAGTTTAAGCATCGTCTCTTATGAGGTAAACCAATGTGACCAATATCATTAGCTAAGCTCATTTAGTGCGCTGTAATCGAATAAATATGTTAATGCATGCAACAAAAATCTACTGTCACATTTTCACATGTACATTTACATTTACTTCCAGAGCATTGTAATACCAGGACATATTCTCTTTTCAGAATCATATAAGCATTTTTTTCATGATCTTCCCAATGGTAATATTTCCAGAGTGATTGTACCATATTCTATAAAACCAATAAAAAATATACAAAATACATACTATCTACTTTAAAATAAAAGTACCTTTTAATTTAAAAGTGGCTGCAGGAAACGTGCAACGCCACCAATCTGCGTGCAGCTCAGATGGTCTTTTCCTCTTCATCGTCATCTGCTGGTATATTATCTCACACTGGCGCACAGAGAAAAGAGTAAATTTGTCTTTGCTGTTAGACGTCACCCTCAGCTCCCTGAAGAGGCACACACTTGCACACACATACACAGAAAATGGCTTCATGTGGAGACGGGAGAAGGTACAGATATGACATACAGAATATTTCACGCTGACAAACCATTCTGATTCACCACAAAGCACCACAGCCCGGGAAAATCGTCAAAGACTGGTTTCCCTGTCGAAGCCCTTCTCCAGACGGGTTCTCCACTGGTGTTTCCTCACGGCGCAGTTGGATACACTGCAAAGGGGAGGGGAACACATTGCAAGGCTGCACGTTAATTAGTGGGTGTGGCCCCTTAATTCACATGATGATGTTTGCTGCCTGAGAGCGTAGGTCACCCAAACATCTGGGCCTGGAAGAACCGAGACAAGCTAGGCCTGGTGTGCTGAGTAGAGGGTATACGCCTGGGGTCTCCAACTCCGGTCCTGGAGAGCTATCCAGTAGGTTTTCTGTCCCACTTGGCTTCTGATGAGCCACACCTGTTCCTGGTATTTACCTGAGAACAGGTGTGGCTCATCAGAAGCTGGGTATGATAGAAAACCTACTGGACGGTAGCTCTCCAGGACCGGAGTTGGAGACCCCTGGTATACGCTATATCAGGAGCAGGCAACCCTAATCCTGGAGTGCCAGTGTCCAGCAGGTTTTCCATCTAACCTGATCTCTGGTGAACCACAGCTGATCTCAGGCAGATAGTAACGCATCAGGTAGGATAGCAAACCTGCTGAATACCAGCACATCAGGATCAGAGTTGCTTACTCCTGCACTATAAGGACAAAAGTATCAGGACACCTAGCCATTATACCCACATGAAATTTTACTTGAGCTGGTCCCCCCTTTGCAGCTATAAGAGCTGCCACTCTTCTGGGGAGGCTTTCCACAAGACATTGCAGTGTCTGCGGGAATTTTTGCCCATTCGTCCAGAAAAGCATTTGTGATGTCAGGCACTGATGTTGGACGTGAAGGCCTGGCTCGCATTCTATCTCCATTCTATTCCATCCGAAATGTGTCTGATGGGGTTGAGGTCAGGTCTCTGTGTGGGACAGTCAAGTTCTTCCACACCAAACTCACCCAACCATGTCTTTATAGACCTTGCTTTTTGTTTTGGGGCACAGTCATGCTGAAACAGAAAAGGGCCTTCCCCAAACTGTTCCCACAAAGTGGGAAGCATAGAATTGTCCAAAATGTCTTGGTATGCATATCTGTGTATGCATACTAAGACCTACTGTATATACGTATTTGTTAACTGAGAGCAATTCAGATAAATTGCACATGTTTTATGCCACTTAAGGATATCTACATGTGAGCATAAGAGATATGACAATCAGATGGATCACAAAGCTTACATGTGAAGCAGTCTTTTACTAAAATGTTCCGCACTAACATTAGCATGTAGCAAGTGGTGAAGGACACTAACTTAATGTGATGAGAATTTTGTCAGCTCTAGTCTTATATTAGCAAAACACTTAACCTGAGCTGCTCCAGTAACACAGAGAACTGTGAAAATGTACGTGGGGGAAATTTAAATACCATTTCATATCAGTAATAAAGAGTCAGCACTCATTTTTGAGTTCCATGCAGAACCACTTTGGATCTCACTGCCATGACCCCAGACTGGTCGTTTTTTTTGCACAGAAACCAGGATAAAAGCAGTGGACAAGACATGCAGCAACATCTCCCCACAACCCCGCTCCATGCAGAGCAGCCCATGCAGACTCCTCATACAGTTCAGTATAAGCGCCCCCCCCCCCCCCAAAATAAAACACAATCAGAGCATGCTTTGTAACAAGTATCAAACCAAAAGTTGTAAAAAGGACCACAGGGGAGTAGTGTGTGGTTCAGTAGGTTAGGATATGGCGCCTGTAGAAGGTCACTGGTTCAAATCCCAGGCTTGCCAGAGTGATTTCACCACTGGGCCCCAGAGCCAGGCCCTTAGCTTCTCAAGGACTCATTTGGGTAAATAAATAAAATGTAATGTGAAGTTAATAGATGCAGCAGGTTGATCACAGTCCATCAGTGTTGGGAAGGCTAGTGTGTTAATGGACAGAATGCGCAAGCAGGCTCCCGCTATCTACAATGCAGCTGCAAGCCAAAGCTAGCAGGAGACTCAGGAACGAGAAGACAGGCATGCTGCGCATCACAGGTGGGCAACACTTTCAGCCAAAGAACAGCAGGGGGCGACAGAGGGTGGCATCGACGCGAACAAAGGCCAGGAAGGGGACTCACCTTTGGGAAATCAGCTTTGAGGAGGGTTAGGAAAGGGAGCTTACGAGAGAAACAGAATGAGACATTTGTCAGGGTCTGTGTTGATTCCCCACACACACACACACACATACACACACAGGGATTGTAAAAGTGTTTCTAAGAATGAACAGCAGCTGCTGAGATCACGAGAACAGAAGTCTTTGCTCTGGTACGTTCCACCGCAGGCCTATCAACATCTGTGTTACAAAGGGAAGACATGATTGATAATTTGCATCGAGTGAAAATGCAAGAATGGGAAATCTGACTATGCCGCCAAGCTCACCATCTGAACAAAATATGTGCAGAATTATGAAAAATGTCAAATGCAGGGTCTTTATAAAACTGTAGCCTCACACCTCCAGAGTAAGTGGAGTTTGCACATTGTCCCCATATAAGGTAAAGAGGAAGAGACAAACCACTATTGGGATCTATTACTGATAACAAGGGGAGAGTCATTTTAGATCCCAAACAGTGGCAAGCATTCAGCTGAACTACAATCTACATTTCTAAGTAAAGACAGCCAGGAATAATCCTCATTCTTTTCTGGTACTTAATGTGAATCAGAGGAAGGAGACAAACTGCCCAGATGTCCAGCATTTCACCCGCGACTCTGGCCTGGACCGAAAATGTCGCACAGGCTAGACAGACTCGATTGGCATGGACAGCTCTGAGACAGAACACTCTGCTGGACATGTAGGTGCTGTGGGGTCACGCACGCCGCCGAATGTCAGCTAATCTGAGGATAAACAGAAACGTTCTGAAACCTTTTGGATGCCGGCTCCTTCTTCGCAGTGTCCGTGCTGAGGGCTTTCCACTCATTACCAAATGAGGCTTTCGCCATTTCCTCAGAAATATTCACTGTAGAAGGGTCATCTCTGTAAAAACATAAATATATAAACAATATTTATAAACTACACAAACTTATAAACAACAGGACAATAAATCTCAGGAACAAATGGAAAGAAGCTGAAAAATATTTAATTTTGGAAAAATGTAATTAACGACGAACAGAAAAAATAGAATTTAGTGATTATTGTTGACATACCCACAGCACACAATAATGAAATGTGTCCTCTGCATTTAACCCATATGTGACATTGCGACATAGTAGGGGGCAGCTAATTCAGCGCCCGGGGAGCAGTGCTTGGGGGGCGGTACCTTGATCAGGGTACCTAAGTGGTACCTTGCTGGTCGGGGATTCGAACCTGCAATCTTTCACTTACAAGTGCGCTTCCCTAACCATTAAGCCACCACTGCCCATGTGGAAGCTAGAAATAGGCAAAAACTAAAATGTATAAATACGTACACAAATACACAAAATTATACATTTATGTGTGTATATATAAATATCATACAAAAATACAAGACATCAGGGATGAAGTATAATTTTCGACGTAACGGACACAGAATCTGTTCCTTCTCAAGGATGGATTGCATACATTAAAACTGGGACTCTTCTGATCAATAACTGATCAGTTACACAAGGTGAGTAACAGATAAGCACAGTTCTATCAACTGCACCCAAAGAATATTTGAGTAGGCAGGATGTTTGCCATAATGGAGCAAATGCAGAAACATGCATGTTTTTATAATTTCCATTTGGCTTCTTCTGATTGGTTGGTCTTTGTGTAGTGGCTCCTATAGTCCAATCAGAACTTACTTGTAATGCCCCTCCAGTGGTACCTGAACAATCCCCTCTTCTGCCACAACACTTTCCTCTTCCTACAGGACAGAGAAAGGTACTGAAAGTCAGAACCACACTCACAAGTCAACAGGGATAAAAACAAATTTAACGTAACAGAGACCAGATATTAGCCCAGCAAGAACCAGGGAGAATCAAGAAAGTCATTAACATAAAGGACACATTTAATACAACCCTCACTGGTGTATTTATTAAGATTTAATTTTTGTAGCTACTGAGTGGGCGGTATTCGTGTGCATTTTGCCAATCAGATGGCTTCATGAAATGGTACCTCCTGTTGTTCATCCTCCAGCTTCTTCTTCTTGCTCTCTGGCATCAGGTCGTCCAACCAGCTCAGCTCCCGCTTGGTGAACAGGAAATCCAGAAGCTTGCGGATGAATACCAGAGCCAACACCTGGGGAGAAGAATCCACTCAGACATTAAACGTAACTGGTTTCATCAGTAGTTTAAGGCTTTTGTTCAACAGATATGCTATTTAGTAGTGATGGACAAAATGACGCTTCAATAACCATTTGCTGTATTTTATGAGCCCACTAGATGGTGCTCTTGATTTGCTTTGGTGCATGCTTTGTGCCCTTATGTGAATAGAGAGCCCCATCTAGTGGGGTCAAAAAATGCAACAAATGGTTCATGAAGCGTCATTTTGTCCATCACTACTATTTAGCATAGATGCCCTCTGACCATGATGTGATTCAGTTGTTGTAAAGTAACAGTTTTGAGAAAGCTAACATTATAATAAAAAATTAAAGCTAGGTAATTGAGAAGCTTAAGGATTCTGGGTTGCTGAAGGGGTCCATGGTGGAATTCTGATCTCTGACTGGAGCTGGGAAGGTGGCTACCATCATTGGGAAGACGATTGCGGCTCTGGAAGTTTTGATGACCCACAGGAGAACCAGACAGCTGAGCTGGATAATGGTGAAGAGGTGGACCTTCCTCAGAGGCACATGGCGCAGGTAGATGAAATCAGGCTGGTGCTTTGCAGGCATGCCGAAGAGCTTCAGGCGATCGAAGAACTGGACGAAGGCAAGAACAGATGTTAGCCTAAGAACCTGAATTTCACAACTGGGTGCCAATTTGGTCTGGTCCACCGCAGTGACAGCTAGGCTAGCCTAAGAACCTGGATCTCACATTTAAATGCTAACTGTAATTAGCCAATATCAAATAAAGCCATGTTATCAAACCGGATCATTCTGTTAGACACTAACTACAGCTGGGCCATAGTAAAGACAATGTCAGCCAATGGCAACAACAGCCTAAGAATTTATGTACCTGAATCTGACTACGACAGCCCACATTGAATCTCAGAGCTAGATTGCTGGGCATGCTGTAGCCATCATTGGACACATCAGACTGTCATAACTAATCCACTGGTGAATTGCTTAGAGTCCATTAGTATTTACCTGAATCCCCCTCAGGGACGACGCCCCCATGTAAAGGAAAACTCCATAAAGCACAGGCATGGGAATAAACTGAAAGGGAACAGAGAGGGGAGGGTTCAGTGTCATGGGCTAAAAACAGTCCCATGTGAATAATAAAGGCTTCACAAGGAGCTTTTCACGTTCATTACTAAATGCTCAGGACAAACATCAATACACAAATACAATAGGCAAAGCCTGTCGATAAGAGCAGTATAGAGCACGAAATTACTTTTTAAATTTTTTTTTAAATTATTTTTCATGTTGGGCTCTTCTCTTGATGGTGTAGGTTGTATGCACTGAGCTAGTCAATTCACCACCTAACAGGCGTCCACTTTGCTGCTGACCTTGAGGACGGAGGTCATGAAGACGGAGCAGCCCATCAGCAGGAAGATCATGAGGCCCGTGAACCTCTGCTCGCGGATGCCCAGGAACTTGGGCTGCTCCCCGGGGGCTGAGCACTCGGACTCCAGCTTCAGGCTGTTGACGTGCGAGATGGAGAGCACGGTGGCGGCCACGAACCAGGGCAGGCCCATGACCGAGCACACGCCCAGCATCACACCCACCATTAAGAGATCCAGGTGGTAGCCGCAGCCTTTCTGTGGATTAACAGGCTCACGTTCAGCGATGGCAGCACGACCTGTGGCACATGCTTAAAGGTGGCGCATGCTCCAAGCGAAATCGATGCAACTGACAACCCCTGTTTTTCGATAGCATGTAATTCGTGTGAATTGCTGGTTTCTCCGTCTGTGTCCCCACTAGTATTCAACCAGTAGCGGCTGTTAATAAAGAGTGTAACTTCCATTTTAAACGAGCTGTCATCTGCTTCATTAAAATGACTCCTGCACTCGCCACAATACGCTTATTTGTGCTCTGTGTACGATTCTGCCGCATCAAAAACATTCAACCCTCAAGGATTGTGGAGTGACATTGAACAAACAAGGTGGCAACATTGTTTTAAGTAAGCGTTCTTGCCGACTTGTTTGATTTCGTTTCATCCGGACATCGTTTGAAGTGTGCAGCCACCTTAAGAACCATTGGAGTCTCAGCAAGAGTTCATACCCAGAGACAGAGTAAAGAGCCAAAGAATTCAACGTGATTGACACAAATTACAGTGAGTTTATAAATTTGCATTTCATGTTTCAGTAGTATAAAAAAATCCATCCATCTTGCATAATTACTTATCTAGTATGGGGCTACAAGCCCCTAGGGCCCTTCTCAAGAAGCACAAGACCCAAGGTAGGGGGACATTGAATTGGATGCAAATCAATCCCAAGGCAGACTCACAATCACCTAGACTATGGGCAGTTTAAAATGACTGATTCACCAAACTGCATATGTTTTGACTGTGGGAGGGAAGTGGTGCAAATACCAGGGAAACTTACAAATCCTGAATGGATGCAGAGGCAGGAATCAAATCTGCAGCCCTAGAATTATGAGGCTAAAACAGTGTTTCCCAATCCAGCCCTCAGAGACCCCCAGACGGTCCATGTTTTTGCTCCCTCCAAGATCCCAAGCAAAAATGTGGACCATCTGGACAGGAGCTGGGAGGGAGCAAAAATGTGGGCCGTCTGGACAGGAGCTGGGAGGGAGCAAAAATGTGGACCGTCTGGGGGTCTCTGAGGACTGGATTGGGAATCACTGCACTGATAAATGGTACCAATGAAAACATAAATGATTCTTTATAAATGCTATGGCTGACAGAGAATTGCTGCGTCAACTCTACGTTGCTATAGGAATGACGCGGAAACACCATGAATAAAGGTGGTTGGGAATTCACCTTCAGCTTGTGCTCCTTCCTGTTGATGATGACAGCGGTAATCTGTTGGTCCATGAAGATGAGGATGGTGCAGAGCAGCGCAGGGACAGCCGTCACAAGGATGGTCCACCATGGGTTGGGTCCCAAAGGGTTGACCAGCCAGCCGCGGTCGTCTCTGGTGGGCTGAAGTCAAGTACAGGAAGGCAAAACATGAATGCTAAGGTAAAAGTTTAAACACAAACAATCACCATTCATTCAATGCGTAGATGAACAGCAACCTCTGTACTATAAGTATCGATTTTACCTTGAACTCGTTGGGGACCTGAAGCTTTGGAGACTGTACCCCAAGAGCATAATCGACAAGCACCATTGTGGCAATGGTGATGAAGACTGCAAAGTCACTGATGATGGATCGCACCTGTAGAAGATAACAACAAGGCACGACCGACCAGTGTAATTACCATCAATAAAAAAGTCAAACTCGGGATGTGGATTTAAAAGAATGCTACACTCCCAGAATTTACCACTAGAGGGAGTCATCAGACAGAAACAGCCTCACATCAAGCAGAAGAGTGAAAATACAATAGATACAATAAATAAATACAATAGATGCATCAGACATGCACTCACACATGCAAAGCAAACACACGCCACAGACTGACTCCAGAACAGGTGAAGGAAGCCATCGTGCCTTGGTGGGGAAGTAACGGCTGGTCTTGAAGTCCTTCAGGAAAGATGACATGGCCACGGTGGAGAAGAAGAGCACGATGGACCAGAAGAGCACATCGGGGGCGTAGGGGCCATGGGGGCCACAGGCAGAACCCACAAACTCGCCTCGCTTCTTCAGGCAGTCCTGGGAGGACAGGGGAGGGTCGGGGTAAGACCCACAGGGAACCACAAGGGGGCAGAAAGACGCGCCACATTTAAGGGACCAGAATTAAAGGAGACGGACATTCTGTTCAAGCACCATGAAAGGCTGCTGTTGGACCCTAGAGACAGATATCAGGCCTCAATTTGCAATAAACGCACGGGCCGCTCTTTTAGCCATGCCTGCATAGCAGCTGCAAACTAAGGGTGAATGATACCTCATGATGATGTCACTAATTGCAGCTTATAGTAGGGATCAGTAACAGCCCTTCAGCAGTCCGTGTTCATCTCCTATTGTTTAAGCTCACTGAAGATCCCACACACAGCTCGCAGAGCGAACTGTATGCATTTAAAGCACCAGGATTATTTAATCATAATCACAAGTGTTATAATAATAAATCAGGTTTTTTTTTAATCTTTCCAACCTTCGGCCATTAGACTCTATAGCGAGTCACACTATGGCGGGGAGGTGACCATCAGTCTAAATGGACAAGAACCGCTTGGGCACATTGCACATTCACTGCACATTCATGTTTTTTAATCGTACAACCCACTGTGCTATTACTATGGAATTCTGTGCAATACTTTCTCTAATATTCTTTGTACCACTATTGTTCATCGTCATCTATTATTTACTGCTACTGTTTATTACTGCCAAATATTTTAATTGCCTAATTGCATGTGTTCGTGAATGTTGTGTGTGTCACTGTAAACCTGCAATTTCCCTCAGGATTAATAAAATACCTCTGTCTCTATAACCACGTGCTTTTTTTTGCTGAGGCAGTCCCGGGTGAGGGAGAGCCTGGGATCTATCTCCGAAAGCACAGGGCAAACAGTGCCGGACGTCCTGGATGACATGCCCGTCCATCATATAGCCACATACTATTGATGTTCTTTACAATGACAGGGCGACCAAGCTGCATAAACACACTGCTGAATGTGACTGTGACCGAAATTCTGCAGCATCAAATTTAAAGTGGGTAACTGTTGTACTTTTGAAAAACGCACCCGCTCTGATTGCCACAGTAAACATCTTTACTGGCAACTGATGCTAGTTCTGTGACACTGATGGATGAGCAGGGAAACTTCACAGAGCCCAGAGATCCGCGCTCCAGGGAAACCTCACAGAGCCCAGAGATCCGCGCTCCAGGGAGACTTCACAGAGCCCAGAGATCCGCGCTCCAGGGAGACTTCACAGAGCCCAGAGATCCGCGCTCCAGGGAAACCTCACAGAGCCCAGAGATCCGCGCTCCAGGGAAAACCTCACAGAGCCCAGAGATCCGCGCTCCAGGGAAAACATCACAGAGCCCAGAGATCAGCGCTCCAGGGCAAACCTCACAGAGCCCAGAGATCCGCGCTCCAGGGAAACCTCACAGAGCCCAGAGATCAGCACTCCAGGGCAAACCTCACAGAGCCCAGAGGTCCGCGCTCCAGGGCAAACCTCACAGAGCCCAGAGATACGCGCTCCAGGGAAACCTCACAGAGCCCAGAGATCCGCGCTCCAGGGAAACCTCACAGAGCCCAGAGATCCGCGCTCCAGGGAAACCTCACAGAGCCCAGAGATCCGCGCTCCAGGGCAACTTCACAGAGCCCAGAGATCCGCGCTCCAAGGCAAACCTCACAGAGCCCAGAGATCCGCGCTCCAAGGCAAACCTCCAGAGCCTTGCCTGATAGCGGAGAATCACAGAGCAGCCCCTGTTCTTTGGTGATTTTAACATTACTAATCCTGTGCTGTTTATGTGTTCTAATCCCCCCTCATGTGGATTAGCTACAGGGGAGAGAGACCCCTACACTGGAATAAAACATGCCCAGAGTGGCAAACATTTTGTAGTTCTTGAGGGTGGGATAGTAACCAAGTCCAAATGATAGGAGGTATAGAGATCAGTATGAAATTTAAGTGATTTTTATATCTTCTTTGCAAATGGGCTTGCTCACACGGTCCGAGTCACATGTGTCAGAGTCTCACAGTCTGCAAAGCAGAGACCCTCCCTCCCTGATTGTTCTGAGCCTGTCAGCTATCTTACCTTGACATCCAGACCCATCCAGTTGACCTGCGATGATGTGATGTTGCTTTCCTTCCAGTACCTCAGGGTAGCATTGCTGGGATTTACAGGCTCAACACAAGCACACCTGCAGGGTAGACAACACTAGGTGACTGTGGGAAAGGGGGGGTGGGACTCAGGGAGGGTCAGGTGACTGTGGGAAAGGGGGGTGGGACTCAGGAAGGGTCAGCTGACTGTGGGAAAGGGGGGTGGGACTCAGGGAGTGTCAGGTGACTGTGGGAAAAGAGGGTGGGGCTAAGGAGTAAGGGTCAGGTGACGTTGGGAAAGCGTGGGTGGGACTTCATGTGTATTCATTCCACCTGTCCTTCATTATAAGCAAAGGTATAAACTGATTTGTCTTGTTCATTCTCAGCTTCTTTGAAGCCAACCTGACTGACGCCCCATCCAAACAGCCTTATTCCTGAAAACCTTTCATTCCGAGCCCCATTCCTGTGCCTGCCATCCCAACCACAGCAATTCCCACAGGGATACTTCTGAAACAGGAGGGACTTTTCTACGTCTAAATCCCGACACACTGTGCGTCTTTGTTACTGGGTCCCCTCGGCCCATGTTGCTGGTAACACTAAAAAGTTCACCTCTACTCTGGGTAACATCACACTGAATGTAAAAACAGAGTAAAAACAAAGAGTTTTTAATGTGATCTAAGAATTCTTACAAATACTACTAAGTGCAGGTTGTATTTGTGGGGCCCATCTAACTGTTCCTGGTCAGGGTCACCAGGAGCCAATCCCGGGCAGCACGGCATTGAGATTTTGTATGAATAGATAGACAAAAGTACCACTGTCACTCTGAAGCATGCTTACGAGTACTGAGTGAGCTTCTCCAGGTTGTTGTTCATGTTGAAGGGGTATGTTTCTCCCAGATGGATCAGCTTCTCCAGGGCCTCGTAGATGAAGATGATGCAGATCAGGGAAGCAAAGGCTTCCTCTGTGAAGCGTGTGATGTAGCAGACCAGAGAGCTGGCATCGGTGGCCACCAGGAGCAGACAGAAGAACGCCGTCCAGAGGCCGATGCAGGCTCGGAGTGAGAGGTAGGAGAGGCCGTACTCCCTGAGAGGAGGGACGACAGCAGGACGTTCGCACTTCGCTCATCAATCAGAAGCCCAGTCTGCTGCCGGACGGAGAGGTGGCAGACATTGGTCGTTAGACGTGCTCACTTGCAGAACTTGAACAGGATCTTCTCAAAGACCAGCACGGGTCCGGTGCTGCCGAGAATGGTGAGCGGCTGGCCTGCGAAGAGGGAGTACGCTATCCCCGTCATCGAGGCTCCGAAGAGCGACTCAATCGCACTCTGGAAAGATGAATACGGTGTCAGTGACATCACACACACTTCTGGTCATTTATTTGAGTGTCTCTACAAAGAATGTTTATGCATTTTAAAACTGGTTATAGTCAAAAGTTCATTTCCTTCCCCTGCTCTTCCATCCATCTAGCAACGATCTATCCGGGGGGTGGGGGTGGAGCTGAGAGGGGGGGTGGAGCTGAGAGGGGGGGTGGAGCCTGCCCCAGGTGGCAGAGGGCACAAGGTAGGGAAACAACAAGTATGGATGCAGGCCCATTGCAGAGCACAGACACACTGACACACACACAAAGACACAGACGCACACAGACACACACACCCAGACAGACAAAGACACACACACAGACACACACACCCAGACAGACACAGAGACACACACACCCAGACAGACACAGAGACACACACACCCAGACAGACACAGAGACACACACACCCAGACAGACACAGAGACACACACAGACACACACACCCAGACAGACACAGAGACACACAGAGACACACACACCCAGACACAGAGACACACACAGACACACACACTAGAAACAGAAGCTAGAGCATACACACCCTGACAGCCTCACTCCCATACAAACTGCTGCATGAATTTGTATCATCTAAAATATATGAATGACAAGAATTCAAACAACAGGAGAAGAGTCAAATCACTGTTAATCATTCTTTTTTATTTCCGACTTGATTCCCGTTCTGCTCTAAATACATTTTAATCTAGGTTCAGCCAGACATTTGTGTTTATTATTATTATTATTTTTTGTTAAAGCTGTAAACTGTGATATCACTTTTATCGTTCCAAATGCCACTTTCTGCCGGCTGGTCCGTTCTTTGGTAACTAGCAGAAATACTGGGTTTTATATGTTCTGCAGTCCTGCTCCTGGACTGAAAGGCGCGTTTCTCCAAACGGAGTGAGTCGTTACGCTAAGACGCCAACAATGGCCATGTGCTGCATGTTTCTGCATTCTGAGAGACGCAGAAGATCCGCCTGCTCGTGGTTCTCTATCGTTCGGAATTCCTCAGCCACGCCACAAGGACGATGAAGAGCGGGGATCGACGCTAATCGCTAACGGGGTGTCCTGCAGGGCCCTTACTATGCGTCCCTCAGTCGCCTCCCCAAGCAGCCCCCCGAACGTGATCACGGGGGACATGCAGGCGCAATACAGGAACAGGAAGGAGGCCAGACACTGCAGGCTGACGCCGTCCGTGTAGTCCGACAGGTAGCTGGGCGCCTTGCGCTTGATGTCCAGGACCAGACCACCGAACGGCCTGCAAGACAGAAAAAACTCCTCCCAGTTACAGAAGGCTGTTCGATAGCGGACATCTTGCAGTACCTCAACACGCAACGTGTCACTTGGAATAAAAGGTTAAAAATAAATATTAAGTACATAGTTTCATTTTCTTTTGGTTTTAAGATGTCAAAGTGATTTTTTATGTACTGTATATGTAATATATTGCTTAATCAGTGTACTTATCTGTAGCTCTGTCTTCTTATTTGTGGGAGTTTGACGGAGACATTTTTCAATCTCACAATCATTCAGTCATGGCAGCCATTTGAGTTAATCACTTAAAAAGCACAAATAACTGGGTACATTAGAAGAATCAGCAGTAAGTCTGGGATGAAACACTGACGTTGTAATAATCTAGTAAAAGCCGCAAAAAATCCCAGCAGTTCAGCTAACATAAAAAAATAGCTTAGATAACAATGCGGTACCTTTTTGTGTTATCTAACATTTGGACCTGTGGATATTGATATAAATTCTGCATCTAAAGTTCTGCATGGGAGGTTAACAGAGACCCTGCCTACAGAGGGCAGTGGTATGACCTCTAGCGCAGCCCCTTTGAAGCGACGAGCACACCCTTACACGTCCACCAGGGGGGGGCTTAAATAGCATGAGTGAGAACAGAACCCATCCCCCAGCCACAGAAAAAGCAGGAGTCTCTGTTAGCCAAGTGCGAGGCGGGGGTTACCATAGCAACCAAGGACTTGACTTTGACTCATTATTCAGCTGAAGAGCATCCCCCTCACCCCCCCAGTGGGAGACCACGAGTCAAAATCAGTCTCTGTCTGAAGAAGCATGAAGAGGGTGAAGAACTGACACCAGCGCTCCTGGCTTCCAAAGACGTGGCTTCAGCTTCAGGCTCAGGGTTTAAACTGGGGGTTGCGTAATGATAAGTGCCCGTCTTTGTTGACTCATAGCTGCAATTACCCACAGTGCACCACAGGCTACCGTGCACACATTAGAGGAAGGACACCAAGAAGGCATGGGCCAGCGTGTTCCCGGTCAGGCTGAGCTCACGCCTGATTGGACAGAAGCAGAAACTGGAGATTACAGGCCCGGCTGCTCATTGGACAATGTGGTGGTGTTGGGGGGGGAGGAGGTGTGTATTATTAATCCCTCCAAAATTGGAAACTAACCTCACCGCTGCACTCAATACCCCAGAGGGGAACCCCTTTTTTCATGCATAGCAAACCTTCCCCCAGATGATACCCTCTTACCCTGGCAAAGCAGCCCCCCCCGCATGCCCCCAGCAGCCGCCTCTGACTCACCTCCCCGTGCGCTGCAGCTCTGGGCCCCCATGTCCTCCATGTTCAGCCTCGCCCAGCTCTGCCATGCCGTTGGGCAGCGGTGGCACCTTCCGCTTCTCCTGTGTGACGAGGACACGCGGCTCGTTACTGCCACCCCAATGCATGCTTCACTTTAAACCATACTTAGACAAAGATGTCTCAGCCCAAGTGAAGGAGCCTCACGCACCTGAGAAGGTACATTTTTTGGGGGCTCTATCCTGATGGAGGGGTCCCACTCCCCTGGGGGCAGCACTGTGACCTGGTCCAGGAACTCGTCGATGCCGGCCACTAGGTCACTGCGGTCCTTTGCTTTGTAGGCCACGTCGTGGAACACCTACAACGGACACACATAGCAGGTTTCTCTCTGCTCCCCACTCCTTCCTCCCCTGGACCAGGCGTGTGACATTGCCTGGCTCCAAAACAACAGGCAGACTTTCAGTTCCCCCCAATCCTAAGTAATGACCGGATGTGAGTGATAAAGAGGACTTGTACGTAACCGGCAAGCCAGAGACTGTGGCACATTGATTTATTTAATTTTGAATTTTTCATTGACCTCCTTTCCTACAATCTGTGAGTAACTGGCCCTCCGGTCTTCCTCCCATTCTCAATCCCCCCTGGAACACATTCTCAGCCGAGTGCTGCAAGACAAACGGACGTGCCTTCGCGAATGCGATTTGCCAGGTAAGCTTGAATGAAATAACAATCACTGAAGTAATCCCTTCTCACTGTCACCAGGAGCTCTTTAGATGTTCCTCTGAAACAGAGAAATACCTCGAGCTATCTCAGAGTGAGAGGATTACTCACCTCATCTGTCATTAAGGTTGCGATGGATCTGCCGATTTCATGGTACTGCTGTCCTTTCCCTAAGGGCCCCAGCAGGATAAACAGGAACCTATTAAGAGGTACAGGAAGGGGAACAAGACCCAGCACAAACTATTGTAGCATGGTGAACCTAGTGAAATACGAAAAGTTTTTTTTACTTAAAATTTGATCCTTTCAGGATTTTCACAGAACTTTTCCACAGAACACTGCTAAGTACTGATAGACAAAAGGACATTTCATGAACCATTTGCTGTATTTTTTGATCCCATTAGATGGCGCTCTTGGTTTGCTTTGGAGCATGCTTCCCGCCCTTTTTTAAAAAGAAATCACCATCTAGCAAATAGTTCACGAAGCGTCATTTTGTCCAGCACTACTACTAAGCAATTGAGGAGGGGTTAACCAACCCAACTGTCAGACAGCAGAGCTTGGGCTGTCCTGTGAAAGATCAGTAGTGGGATTGAGATGCTGAAAGTACAGTAGTGAAATACATGATTGTCCATCCATTTTCTACTCACTTGTCCAATGAAGGGCAACAGGGGTCTGGAGTCTATCCTGGAAGCTACAGATGCAAGGCAGGAAACAACCCAAGACGGGGCACCAACCCATTGCAAGGCAGACAGACCACTGACACTTACTGACAATTTGCCGATTCACCTCAGCATGTTGTTCAACTGTGGAGGGAAAGTGGAGAACCCAGAGGAAACCCCACGGTGACGCGGCGAGAACACGCAAACTCCATTCACAAGCAGCCATGGCGGAGACTCAAAACTTAGACCCAGTGGGGTAATACAACCACACTAACCATAGCGCAACCATGCAAGATTGCGTGACAAATAGAAACTTGACATTCGAGATAAGGATTTGAAAAGAAGCTTTATTCACCATTTGTATGCTCTCCACTGGTGAGGACAAAGCTTACAGCCGGGCCATTTATCCAGTGCCCTGGGAGTTAAGGGCCTCGGTAAAAGGCCCAAAGGTGATGTGACTATTCTGCCACACACAAAATCAATCGGGTGACGTCTCGATCATAGGCGTAGAGGCCCAACCTGCTGAGCTATATACCACCCCCCAGTGTGGAGTCCTAGTCGAGCTTTGGACCAGTAAACGGATGTAGTAAGGAATGAGGTGCAGGAACCGCTGACATGGGGCTGAGGGGTAATTCTGGAGCGGGATGTCGGAGGAGCTCACCGGGTGGTGATGGGGACCTCGGCCAGCCCGTTGAGCATGATGGCGGGCGAGAGCCTCACAAACACCACCAGGGGGCGCTCAAGGAACTCCAGCTCGCCGACCAGGATGTTGGAGGCCTCTGCACCTGCCGGAATCTTCTTCATGAAGTGTAGGTCTATCTAGGGGGGCACATCGGGACACCAGCGAGCTCTAGTTAACATATGGACCCTGAGAAACAGCGAGCTAATTAGGACAAACTCTGAAGATGTGCTCTGAATATAAATACTGTCCGCTAAGCAAGAGGGTCACAGAATCAAAACAGGGACATCTTAAGATCTTAAGGGTACCATGATAGGCTGAATCTAGGATTTAGAATCAGATGCAAGAGCATGAAACAAGCCATCTTATCTTAAAGCCATTAAATGCAACAGAGAAAATATCGTAGTTTTATAATTAAGAACTATTTGGGTAATTGCCTTAGATTATGCCTGTGAGGCTGACTCAGCATCAGCAGTGTAAAAATGGCCATGTGTGATGCTACACTTTCCCCAGAAAGAACCACACACACATCCAACCTCTCTGACGGCATGAGCATTCTGCCCGTCTCGCGCGATACTGCACTGCAGCAAACCTGACAGGCAGGGTATGCGAGACCAGGTCTGCCTGCAGCACGCTCCACGCACATGCACACACGCACACACACACGCACACACGCACGCACACACACACACGCACACACGCACGCACACACACACACGCACACACAC